AATGCTTGAACTTTATTATTTAGGCGCAAAATCCCTTCCGGGACTTTTTGGAAGGTCCTCTTTGTGGAAAGGACTCCTTGAACAGTCTCAACCCTAAACTCTAGACTGGCCCTTGGCGCGGGGCATAAGAAACCCAAAAGAAAAACTACATAGGAGCCCTTGGGTAGACCCTGTAAACCTCAACCCCCTGAACCTGAAAACTACCTTGAACCCCGAAAGCCTAAACCCTAAACCTCTGAAACTCTAAACCCCTAAAACCCAATGCCCCCAAACCCCAAAGGTTTAGGATTGAGGGTCTAGGGCCCTAAACGCTAAGGGGGCATGGGTTTTAGGGGCTTAGAGTTAAAGTTTAGGGCCCTGAACCCTGAACCCTAAACCCTAAACCCCAAACCCTAAACCCTAAACCCTAGGTTGACGTTGGCTTTGCTGAGCGCGGCTCCTGGGAGCCGCTGCCGCGCGGTGGTGAAGGCTAGATTGTTTTCTTGTGTTCAGGGTTTAAGGGTTTTGGGGTGTAAGGTTTAGGCTTTAGGGTTAAGGGTTTAGGGTTCTTGGGTTTGGGGTTCAGGGTTAGGGGTTTAGGGGTTTAGGCTTCAGGTTATAGGATTTAGGGTTTAGGGTTGTTGGGTTTGGGGTTTAGGGGTTTAGGGTTTAGTGTCTGTTGTGTTTTTTGTTTTTCCTGTTTCTGGGTTTGTTGCGGGTTTGGCTGGGTTCAAGGCGGTCTCTCCGTTACGGGCTTTCTCTCAACACACGCCGCTTGAAGGTTGTAGAAGATTGAGGGGTGAATTTGGGGTATGGGAGGTTCGGAAGTCTGGTGGGCTGTAGGGATCTACGGGACGACTTCTGGCTATTGAGCCATGGCCACAGCCTACAGACGCCATTCATATCTCTCCGTGCCCAAATTCCAAAGTCCGATAGTTTCCTGAAAAATGGTTTAGACCGTAACCGTTTGCGCAAAAAACTGAGAACCTTTGGGCCGAAGCCCTCGAGCGGTGTAACAATAGAGTACAATGGACTCCATTCAGGAACTCTTGAAGCTTCGTTTTGGAGTTGACACCAAAAGAATGACTAAACCCTTGATCCTTCGCCGGTCCAGGCGACGGCACGCACGTGGCAGCCGCTGCTGGGGGTGGCTACGTCTCTCGCCCATGTCGGGTTGGCAAGACACAGGTATGCCTCATGAGCGGTCCACGCTACCGCAAAGCAAATACTTGGGCCTAATGTTTTTGGGGGGAGGGCTATGGGTCTGCATGGTTGCAACGTCCAAGTTAACCTTTGGGACACATGCTTGGTTTGCTTGGGCGGTCTAGAGCCAACACGTGTAAGGCTATGCAAGGATCACGCGGGGCCCTTTTGAGGGCTATACAAGAATGGCCATGACTGTTTTATGCAGGCATCGTGGAGTTTCGGCGCTTAGGTTCCAACCCTTCTCGGCAGTTTGTGCAGTGTCAGCAGAGTTCATGTTAGGCTGCAGATCTCTATAGTTTGGGTGCCGAGCTTTTGCCATAGAAGGTACCTTGTCAGTGGTCGTTGATCTATTGCCACATCTTGTTGATTTCGCAGGGTTTGATGTTTGTACATGTCGCCTTTGACCCCTATACATAGCACAACAAGGACCAGCGCCAGATCGCACGGAAAGCATCTATTTGCATGCTTGGCATAAACTTGAACAAACACTGCGAACAGGCAACGGACTTCTGAACAACGTCCAGCATGACTATAAACCTAGACGGCGCCTAAACTGCCTGCCTGCCATCTTTCCCTGCAATTCATATATAATGCCTGAAGCCCTTGGTTTTTCAGATTCCTGCTTTCAGCTGCATGCTTTCCTGGCCTGAGGTCTACACCTTCGGCGGGCTCCAGAGTGGCCGGCCTAGTTCACAGGCCTAAGCTTAGTTGCTGGGTAGCGGGTAGGTAGCCTTGAACATGTTGGGGCCTACATAACCCTACCATTATTAGAAGGTTGGTTTATGGTGGCTAACCAGTATATGGCTTATTGCGGGGGATACTAGGAGTTTAGACTAAAGCTCATGCGAATTGCAAGGTGTGTATGTTTTGACTTAAGCGTCCGCTCTTGCCTTTTTTGGGAGTGCAAGGCTTCCCATTTAAGATTCCGTTACGCATATATATATATATGTATATATACTATACACATTCCGAGACTCTCCTTGTAGCCTTCAAGAGGCCGTGCCAGGAGCTTCAACTTGGCCCCTGTAAGCTAGGTGAGATGGGTACCCAACTGATATCACATGAGTTCTTTTTTTAGGGGCATATTATAGTGCTCAACATGGGGTAAGGTTGTATCCTACATGTGTGTCTAGCGCTTTAGAACATTGAGTGGGGCCAATGCATAAAGTTCAGCTCTGCTGAAGTCTTGCAGGGCACCTGCTGCCGATTGATCCATGCTTTTTACCTCTAAGTTCCAAGCCCATTTGAGTCCTTCTCAATTCCCGCTGTGGACATACCGCGTAAGTGGAAGCTTCAAATTACATCAAAGAAGACACTTCATTGTTCCTCCGCCCATAGACCATTTCTCCCCTTTTCCAGTTCAGCATGAGCTAGTCACCTCTGTCCGAAGTGAGGTTTTCTGGCAGCAGTACCGCGATTCCAAGCCCTCCAGAAGAGTCATATGAGAGTCATAGGGTCTTTGATTTTTTAGGGGGTTGGGGTAACCAGAACCCCATTTTTATAAAGGTTATTGGTAAGTGAATATATATATATAGGGCTCCTTAGGAATATTGATCCTTCGGAATACTGTCGAGTGTTTGAAGAATGGGAGGTGGTGGGGGAACCCATAAAATGGGGAAACGGTGCATAAGCACCATGGACCAAGCAACCTGTCCCGCACACCTAGACAGAACCTTAAACCCTAAACCCTAATCCCCAAACCCTTAACCCTAATCCCTTAACCCTACCTTAACCATAAACCCTAACCCCTTAACCCTACATAAACCCATGCATCAAGTGGCCTTTTTGGGAGGCCCTACGACTGGACCTGCGATCGGGGCTTTGGCAGCCGCTGCCCAGACTGCCGACCCCCAGGCCCGGGTCTGCTTGACGGTTTAGGGTATTAAGGTCTAGGGTTAAGGGTTAAGGGTTATAGGGCTTAGGTTTAGGGTTATAGGGTTTAGGGCATTAAGGTTTAGGGCATTAGGGTTTAGGGTATTAGGGTTTAGGGTTATAGGGCTTAAGGTTTAGGGTTTAGGCATGAGCCTGCTTAGTATATTGGGGTTATAGAGGGATAATGGAAAACAAAATGGAAACTACTATAGTATGTAGGGGTTATATAGGGGTAATGCTTGAGAGGGTTGTGGGGACTCAGTACGTGTAGGGTTTAGGGTGCAGGGTTTTGGGGTGTAGGTTTTTGGTTTTTGGGATTAGGGTTTCGGGTTATAGGTTTTAGGGATTAGGGCAAAGGGTTTAGGGGGGAGTTAGTAAGCATGCTTATATAACCGCTGTATGCCTTAAACTAACCCAGCAATCCCCATTAATTATCTGCTTTGGTTTGGCCTGAGTCTAGGGCTAAGGGGTTAGAAGGACGTTTCAGGGTTTTAGGGTGGGCCGAATCAAAGGTTCAGAAAGCTTTTGCGGATTTCAGGCGTTGGGGACCCTTGTTTAATGCAAAGCGTTCAAAACGTTGGTGGATGAAGAGTTTGGGGTTTGGTGGGTTGAAAGCCTCAGCATTGAGGGTTTCTTGGGGGATCCCAGGATGTCACGATCAGGATTTGGGAGTATTACGAGTTCACATTGGGAGTGCTTGGATGGTATGGAATAATGTTCGGTCGGATCTAAGAGCGGTCACGGCGTGAGCAAAAATGTATGCTTTAGCTTCCTTGGATCAATGAGGGCTGGGGGAGCCCCTAAACTGGAGTAGGTTTGAACATAATATCTAATCTTCATTAGCTTCAATCCTTTTATACTCCTCATGAAGCCACGAAATTTCCAATTTTTATCGAGCCCCCAAACCTACCCTAGTAAAGCGTCTAAAGGCAACTACCCAGGCAGCCAGCTTGTCTTTGGCTGGAATTTGTTTGGCTCAAAATTTTGCTTATGCCCGGAAGCCGGCCTCCCGCCACGCTTGGGCCGTGAGCTCTTCACAGAAATCTGCAGAATATGAACCCAAAGAAAGAATCTGTGATTCCCTGTGCTCCTGATCCTATGAGCTGTTGAAGGTTGGGGTCTAGCGTTTGCATACTAAAGCCCATTTTTGCAGTCCCCCGCCTACGGACAGGTTCGAGTGTGCGGCTGTCTTTGTCCAGCATCAGCCTGGCGCCCAGACACATTTGCAGCGCTCAGATGGAATTTCCAAAAAAGGGGTGGCAAATTTTGGGGGTCCCCAAAACAAGGAAAACGTATTGTGCGGTCTATATTGGGTTCCCCCCTATCTATAAAAACCAGCAGATAGGGTTACAGCGAAATTATGTCTGGCCGAAGCAGAAGCTGCGTGCATCCATGGTTTGTTGCACACTGTTGTCTTTGCTGAAGAGTTGCACATGGGCACAGAAAAAACCCTGAGGGGGCTCAGCCAGGCATGAATACAACGGTAATTTCATTAATTTCATTGCTTCTTTCACATTGGGCTCTTTCACTGTTGCATTTGGATCAGCATTATAAGTCATTCGGAATTACGTGTCAAGGGTGGAAAGCTCTACTTGTCCAGGATTGCCGGTGAAGTCCTTGAGCTAGATGGCATCAAGCCTTCAGGCATGCTTTGGACAAGGCTCCCGCTCCGTTTTCTTCGGCCATCTTGGCCGCTGCAGTTGCAACACACAACCTCGGTGTCAGGACTTGCAAGCCCACAGGTCAGGTGGACTGGCACCACTTGGCGGGTGAGCTCCCATGGACGGGTAGAGACGTCAAGGGGCGCGGTGAGTTATGGCTCCCTGAAATGTTCTGGGTACTACCGTGTCAAAATTGGAGGGCAACACTACTACGTGCATCGGCTTGTGGCAGCAGCGTTCCTAGGACTGCCGTCCAGTTCTGACCGTTGGATGGTTAATCACATGGATGGTGATCGCTCAAACAACCGCGTCTCCAACCTGGAGTATGTAACACCCGCAGAGAATGCACTCCATGCATGGTCAATCAAGCCTAACAGAGGCCAGCCAATTCTCTGGAGAGCTTGTGGTACTCAGCCGTGGGTACATGCTTCTTCACAGTCGGCAGCTGCGCGGTCATTGGGTGTGTCGCAGCACTGCATATTGAGCTGCCGTCGCGGCTTGCGGGCGAACTGTCCCGGCAATGGTGCAAGTTATGAGTTCCGGGCTGCTTCCGTGGTTGAGGTAGAGGCAGAGCAGCTTGATCATGAGATATGGAAACTGGCAAGTTATCCTGGGAATGACAGCAGAATCTCAGGCCTTATGGTCAGTGATCATGGGAGAGTTCGGTCGACATCCAGAAATGGCGACGTTGTTTCTCGCGGGTATCTGAATGCGAATGGATATCATGTCGCATCAAAGAACAAGCGAAATTATATGGTTCATCGTTTAGTCGCTGCCACATTTCTTGGCCAACCTGCGCAACCAGACCTGCAAGTCAATCATAAAGATGGTCACAAGGCAAACAATCACTTGCTAAACCTGGAGTATGTCACAGCTTCCGAGAACGTGAAACATGCGTGTGCACTTCAGGCCCGACGGCAGCAAGCCAGACGCAAGGGTATGCACGTGGAGGCTTCTTTGAAAGAATCTGATGGCCAGTGGCTGCAGTTTCACTCCATTAAGGCAGCTGCAGAGCACACTGCCACAACAGCCTGGCGAATTTCGCGGGTCTGCCACGGTCATTTGGCTGTCGATCCTACGAGCTTGTGGAACTTCAGGTTTCTGGGCAGAAGCTCTGGAGAACCAGACGAGGAGTGGCGCACGGTGGTCTTTGAAGGAGCTCGTGTGTGAGTGCAACTGCTTTCGAGCGCCAGAAAAGAGGTCAGAGTGCATCGGGGCATGAGCTGCGCTGGCTGTGCTTGTCAGTAGGTCTTGCCCGCTGTGTGCAATTCCAGGCATAAATTGCACCCACGCGCGTGCCCGTTGCGGAATCAACACATGCAGTCCTGGTCCTAACTACTTGTTGGATTGGGTGCTGACATCACCAGAGCTGGCTCTGAAGTCAGTGGTCTATTTAAACAGAATTCTCACAGCTTCGGCTGGACTTTTGCGTGCGCGCAGCCTCGCCCTTTCCCGACTCATGGGAGCCGTGGTCATGGGAGCCTCCAGCTTACCCATCCGCATCAGCCATGCATGCCAACAATGGCGTGAGGTGTTCGCGCCTACCAAAATTTGAGATGTGAAGATTTTAATGTGCTTATATTGATCTGCGTAAGCTAGAACGCGACGTGTTCAACCAGTTCCGAAACCTACCTTGGCAAGAAGGCGCCCAGCATGAATCCCTGCATCATGCGCTAGCTCTCCTGCTGAGAGTGCCTGGTCTCATCCTCATGATATACTCCTTGCACAAGTTTCCGATGAGACCTAGAAGATCTTAGTTGGATCGCCTAGGTGCATCGTTGCCGGTGGGGCCTCGGTGGCTGGCACGGCCACTGACGTGGTGGAGGGCTTTGTGCCATCTGCAGGCAGGTTCGGTTAACGGCCTAATCCCTATATATATATAAATGTAGAGATAGATAGATAGATAGATAGATAAATAGATAGATAGATAGAGACCCCTGTGTAATCCCTATATAATCCGTATATTGCCCTATATCCGTTTATGAATTCCTACATACCCTATGTAGCTGCACATTACCCTAGTTTAGGTTGAGGTCAAGTTTTGCTGCAGCATTACAAGTAAAGGGTTATACATGAGGCTAGCAGATGGATTCAGATAAAAAGTTTGGAAGGCACATGAAACAATAAAGTTGTAGGGCTCCGTACCCCCGCTCGCTTTGATGCTAGTCTAGACGTCTAAGTGGCAGTGAATGCTTCCCTTCGCTTATAAACTTCCTCGAAGGCAAAGTCAACCACACAAAAGCCAGCACCCATTTTCCTTGACTGCTGGGTGCTGAGGGTTCTCTGCAGTGGTTGGTGATTGACGTGTAAGCGGGTAGTTTCTAACCACGCATGTCATCATTGCTTCGTGAAGACGGATGCGATCGGGCCACTCTCCTGCTGTAGAGCCGTATGCAGCAAGAGGGTTGGAATATGATCTTGCTCTGGCAGATCCCAGTTGGCAGGTTTGTCGCCAGCACTTATGCATCGCCTTGCTCAGCCTGTGGAGCTTAGATTGCGTACGCTTGGTGTGTAAGGGCTTGTTGGCTTTTTTGAAAGTCCCTGCCCCGACACTCTTCCAGCAATTTGCTCACATGGCTCACTAAACAGCGTGGACTGACGTAACCAAGCCTCGTAGACTTCTTTGTAAGCCTCTTCTCGTCTTCGGACGGACACACGGACAGAACTCAATGGTAAGAAAGTGAGGTGATATTATCACAATTGGTGTTAGCAGCATGGTATATATAGATTTGAATATGAACATAGTCGCTGTCATGAAGTCCCAGACAATTATTCTCATATGCAACCATCCAAGGACTGAAGGCAGACAAAGCTTTTCGGACCTCTTAGGCTCCCGGGCCTGGAAAATTTTCTGCGGGCTCCCGGGACCAATTGATCAAGGATGCACCCGTCTCTTGCAATTAAAGAACATGTGCGTCTCTTGCAATTAAAGAACATGTGCTAAAGTAGCAGGTCCCCGTCCCAAACAAGCGATCTTCGAGAAAAAAAAAAAGCTTCAAATCCGCAAACCATTCATGTCAAGTTGTATCTCGCAGATCGGAAAAGAGTTCCACGTTGGCAGACGCACCTGTCCTTCCAGAGGCAAGCACGGCCAGTGGAGGACGCTGCCCTCGCTGAAGCTGGAGTTTCATTGTAAAGCCTTTTGTTTGCTGCCAGCTATTCAAAAGTCCAGGTCAGTTCTTCGGGTGCAGAAGATCAGGCGGTTTCAGTTAAGGCCTGTCTTGTGCATCCAGGAAGAATATTGGGCGGTTTTGTCGAGTGTAAGCGAGCTGCCTGCATTGTCTGTGAGAAGTACTATTGGATGTCATCATATCTTTTTACAGCACCTAGGAACTGTTCAACCTACACTCAGGGGACCTGGTGGTGACTGATGGAGCGCAAGGACTCCTCGCAAGGCTCATATTTGGATTCATCCTGAGCATCCCTGTAACTCCCATAAGATTATTTGTTAACGCATGTATTCTGATCCGCAGAACCGACCTTTACAGAGGAACAGTGAGTCCAAGATTCCTCTTCTCGAACAATTGTCTACATGGACAAGTGTTTACGTAAGTTAGGCAAGAAAGTATCTGGGACTGGTTTTCAGCAATGTAGGGGCCATATAGGGCGTATCCAGGTAATGTCGGCCCGGTGGACGTCTTGTCGATCTGCTCCCTTGCTTGCCTGGATCTACGTTAGCAGCCGCCACGACACCTTGTAGAGGCCCTGTTCATTTATGCTGGCCCACCACTGCTTACTTGCGTAATTGCTCCTTTCTTACGTACTCATATACTTAGGTGTACCCGCACCCACGCATCTATCCACCCACTCACCCACCCACTAGCCCACCCATTCACCCGCGCAGGCGTGTGTGTATGCACCTTTCAAAACCTTAGTTAGACTGTTCACAGCGGATTCTGGGAAGTTAAGGAAGCAGGCGCGCTTCGCCTTTGCCCTCGTGGCTGCTGCAGGCAGGCTATGTTCAGGGGTAGTCAGTTCTAGCTGGGTCTTCATCATGGATTCGCCAAACCCCATTGGCCCATAGTGATTTCACAGGACTCGCTGCCATTAGTCTTCGCTACTGGCATTCTGAGTTTCCGACGAGCGGCACCGACATGTTTGTTATTCGATTGCCGATGAGACGATCAATTGATGGCTTGTAGTTCTGAGCTCATATCTGAGTACAGTACCGTCAAAGTCACTATTCAAGCCCTGAGACATTGTTGTTCGGAGTCATAGTCCCAAGGATTTGTGTCTCTGAGAGCCACTTGCAAGGGCAAGCTTTATCACTAATTCTCTGTTACCCTATAGCCTATAACCACATGTAAGGGACCCTGGGTTTCGGTTTCATTTTCAAATCTTTTTCCCACGGTATTCTCCATCATCCCCTAACCCTTAACCTCAAACCCTAAGCCGTAATCCCTGAACCTTGAATCCTACACCCTAAATCCTATACTTCCCTAAACCCTGTATCCTCGATCCTAAACCCTAAAGATTGGGTACGGTCTCCCTTCTGTAACAGTTGGATAATATTGTCGATATGGCTATGTATAGTTCTCAATATGACCTTTAATATCGACTGTTACAGGGCGGGGGCAGTACCCAATCTAAACCCTAAACCCCTGAACCCTAAACCCCTAAACCCTAAACCCTATACCCCAAACCCCTAAACCCTATACCCCTAAACCCCTTGCATTCCAGGCGCCGCGGGGCGCGCTCTCTACGCCATCGGCGGGCTCTGTAGTGGCATCAGCCTGGCCGTCGTGGAGCCACGGCCTGTAGGTTTTAGGTGTTTAGGGTAAGTTTCCACTCCAGTGTCCCCCACCTTAAGCCCCAAACCCTTAAACCCTGAACCCCAACCCCCATATCCACAACATTTCAGGCGAAACCTACAAGACATTAAACCCTGAACCCTAAACCCTATAAAACCTAAACGCTAAACACCAAAACCAAAACCCTAAAACCTAAACGCTAAACCCTAAAACCTAAATCCTAGAACCTAAACCCTAAAACCTAAATCCTAAAACCTAAGCTGCCATTCCCCGTTGAGCACCAGAAAAGTTAAGGAGCGGTTGGAGCTCACAGAGCCGAAGTCCTGGGAGATCGTGGAGCCGCTTCAGACCCTGGCATGCGAGGAAGTGGGCATAAGGTTCAGGAAGTTCAGGGTTTAGGGGGTTTAGGGTTTAGGGCTCAGGGTTTAGGTTTCAGCGGTTAGGGGATTTTGAATTATGGTGTGACCCTCAGCTTTAGGAACCTGAAGCAAAAGTCATGATTTCGAACGCTACAACTGAAGGCTTTTACGGTTGAAGGTGGACTTGAGTTAGGATTGCGGGGTGGCGTCGTGGTTTTTGATATATATATATATATATTTATATATGTACATACAATGGTTGGCAAGTTTCTAACAGTTGCGACTTATTGTTGGGGAACTTGCATCATAAGATATCCGCTCTGTCTTTTTCAGAAATTGTCATGCTTCTTTTGAAGCTGGTAGTTGCAGCGGCGCAAGTGGTGATGCCTTCAGAAGGCAATTCTTCCAGCAGTGCACGACTGCTGAAGACTTCACGGCTACATCCTTATTCGTGGTCTCTCTACCCTTTTGCCAATCGAAAGCACCAGGCCCCAGAACCCTACATCTTCAAGCGTGGGGCATGAGGTGAACCAACGGTGCAACCGTAAACGCGTGGCTTCCCCCTCCCCTCTTCCCCGAAACCCTAAACTTCAAATCTGACCCTCTTTCTATACAGACTCTACCCCCCAAAGCAGAGGCCCTGAACCCAAAAACCTGCACTGTAGGCAGCCCCGCCATCATTTTGGGGCAGCTGCTGCTGCCGGCAAGGCGCATGGTGCTCTTGCGGATTCAGTTTTTTAGGGCGGTGAGCCTGGGATGGGTGTGAATTCTGGTTGCGATGAATTCTGCATTGGGGTAATATTAGGGTTCTATTGGGGAAAAAAAGAAAGGATAATGGAAAAGAACATGGAAACTACTATACTGGGTTATATAGAATTCATGGGTCCATTTTGAGGTGGTCAGTGATAAAAGTTCCTTCTCGGGTAGTATTTGGTGTGTTGTTCTTTATTTCGTTTTTTTGGTGGGCCCGGCCTCGAACCCCAACCTCTACAACTTTGCAGCATCTTGTCGGCCAGCCCAAGCAGGATGCATAAAACCCGAAAGCCGCCATGTGCCGGAG